GGCCATGCCCTTAATCGGGCATGCTGCGGCCAGGCTGCGGGGGGTGGGCCGCGGGGCCTGCGGGGCGCTCGGCGCTTGTCGGGGTCCAGCCCTCTGAGCCAGTGTCTGGTGTCTGTGCCCAGCGGACACGTGGGTCAAGGCTGAGCTGTCCCCTGCCCCTCCCCTGGGGCGTCCCCGGTGGGGCCAGGGTGGCTGCTGGGCCTGGCAGTGGGTTGCATAGTTGCTGCCTCTCCTCACCTCCCCAAACTGGTGAGGGCTTGGGCTGTCACCCTTCCTTGGCAGGCTCCCCTGTCGTGCCCCTCCTCTGTTCCCTGGGGGCAGCTGTGGGCTGTGGAAGGCAGGGCAGCCCCTCCTTCCTCTCAAGAGGAGCCTCAGAGCGCCCGCCCACCCACTCTGGCTTTGGCAGACCCCTTGCTCTGCTCCTCACCCACCTGGTGCCTCTGGACCTGCCCAGGCCCTCACTGGGTTCGAAGCCCAGCTGCTCAGCTCTGACTTGGGTCACTGGACCTAGGCAGGTGTGGACACAGCCCTGGCTCCCAGCCCACAGAGGCTTAGAAGACTGCCTGGGAGTGAGCCGCTGAGGGTCGAGGCGGGAGCCCTGGGCAGAGCTGAGCAGAGCAGGTTCCAGCTCCACGCGGCTGGTTTTGCTGGCTCTGCCCCCAAGGGCAGCTCAGGGAGAGAGGTCCTGCTGGGGCTCTGCCTGCAGCTTCCCCAGCCTCACCAGGCAGGGTAGGCTTCATGGTGCCCAAGGCTTGTGTCTTCCAGGCGTCCTCTGTTAACAGCTTTCCCGGGCAGGGTGGAAGTGCTGCTGTGGTCCTCCTTGCCAGTGCTGTGGCCAACTTGTTTGCCTGTGTGACCAGTTTACCTGGGCCAGGTGGAGACACTCCTGTGACAGTGGACTCCTGAGCCTGACCACTGCACCCTTGGGAGGGCCCACCTGTTGCTCATGTTCTGCCTGGTTGGTTGCCTTGGAGGGTCCACCTGGATGGGTGCAGGGCAGGGAAGTGGCTGACTACCTGGGCCACAGCCTCTTGGCAAACCCCAGGACAGAACTATTTATGAATTGGCCACTATACAGAATAATGTTTCCTTCTGGAGCCTTCCTTCTAGTCAGGTCACTGGGCTGTGTGTGGTGCTGCGGCCTGTCCGCGCATTATGTTGAAGCTGGCCTGGCCTGAGGAGCTGTGTTTCCTTGCTCCCTGTGGTGGGGACTGACTTCCAGTTTGTCTAGGAGTGGGGTCCAGCTGATCCTTGGAGGTTGCTGGGACCCCACCTCAGAGCCCTCCCTCCCCGGCCTAGCTCCTCAAAAGCTGGGCTTGGTGCTTAGCGCCCGGGGCCATCTTGGCCTATG